ACACCCCCCCCCACACCCCCCCACCCCCCCCCCCCCCCCCCGTGCCTCCACACACACACACACACACACACACACACACACACACACACACGTGTGCACCAGGCTGTTGGGCTTTGTTCTGTACCCCCTGTACACCTTCTTAGTGTCAGTAGCTCATATCACTGAAAGCCACTGAAGTCCCATGTTCTCCAGGACACTTCTCACCAGGGGATCCTTCTTACCCCATGCCTCTTGGCATTGTGAGCATTCGATACTGACAAAGGAGGAGACATTTGCTGGCATCAGATTCCTGCCTGTGGACTCTCTATCCAGGTGCAGCCTACGGATACAGCTGAGAAAACATCAGACTATTCATTTTGCTTTCTATTGCCTCCTGTGACCCCAAAATTACCACCATATATTTCTACATTTTTTTTATAAAGTAAATGCCTGCATCCACCAGCTGTCCCCTGGGGATTTGGTGACATGTGAGCACAGAGGGTGTCATCTATCCCCGAAGTGAGGGTCACCAGTGTTAGCTGAAGCAGGTGGAGGGTGGCAGGTCTCTGTGGTTTCCCTGCCTTTCCAATTGCCCTCTGCTCCCAGCACATTAGTGCCAGCTCTGGGGTCTGCCCTCCAAACACCAGTGCTGCTTGCCTAGCTAAGTGAAAAATTACAAGTTAATTATAGACCAGGAAGCTCGTGCAGAGGATGGTGGAGCCGGCAAATGTGAGCTGTGTTTACTTTCCCCCCAGTGGCTGAAGCAATGCTGAGAACTCAGGATTAGCACAAACCCAAAATAAACATAAAATGTGACCTCACCGGCTAAGCAAGCCAGTCCACACTGGCATCCAGCCAGTCGGCTTCTAGCAAGCAGACCCATGGTGAAATGGCACTCGGACAGGGAAAAAACAATACTTCACCAGATTCAGCTCCAGGGTGGCAGGGTGGAGGTTTCTACCAAATTGCTTGTTTCCAGACCATTGTCTGAAGCCAAAGCCCAGACCCTCAGCATATGGGTTGGACAGGAGTGGTCGCCATTACTGTTAACTATTTATATGCACGACTCATGCTTGTGGAAACTTTTACATTTCCAGCCCAGCCATCATCTGTTTTGCTGTGAGGTGAGAAAGGCTCTGAAGAGAAACTGAGGTGCAGAGTACCTAGGTGGCTCTGTGGGTGGCAGTGTGCTGCTTGGTGGCCTTAGCTATCCTGCACACTGGCTGGAGCAGGTGGAGGACAGTGTTTCACTGCACGTGCTGGGCATCCACTGTTTTGTCATTGGGTTTTCATCGTGGGTTCTTGCTTCTACTATCACAGGAGGATTTCTACCCCTTCCTCTTGTGGTGACTGCACCTTCAGAGTCCCCATGAGGGCTGTGGGCACAGTACCTTCCATCTGGGGACTTTGTAGATCTAGGTAGCTCCACAGCATGTCTTGGGTGGTTGACTTGTAGAGGTCGTGTTCTCCCTCGCACTGTGGCACAGCCCATCCCCGATGCCCTGGACAGCATGTCCATCCTCCCTATCCTATCCCTCCTCCCATTCTGCCCTGTTCTGTGCCTGCATGTCTGCATTGCCGTTTCGAGAAGCTCATCTGTGCCCCTCGATCATCAGAGCAGATTAGTTTCAAAATGCCTACAGCCGAAACTGTACATTGAGCAGATGCTAGGGTCTGTGACTCTAAGGTACAGCCAGTGTTCCGGTGCTTCGAGCTGTCTCCATTTTTGTTTTGTGCTCTGTGCCCTTGGCTCTCTTTCCACATGGCCTCTGGGGTGTATTCAGACCCTGATGTACCTGCTCAGTGTCCTCAGCACTTGTGTAATGTGAAATCTATCTCACTGTCAGCGCCAAGCTGATGTCATCTTGACACCGAGGAATAAGTGAGGTGATTAAAAAGGATGAAGTGGACCAGGAGATCCCATCTTCCTCCGGCTCCCTCAGGGTGTGCATGAATTATCCCGGAATCTCACCTCTCCTGTGCCTCCTGCCTCTTCTGTCACAGCCCTTCTTGCCTGTCTCTGCCCCTTGGTGCCCTTGGCTCATCACCATCCAGTGTCCATCACAGGCACCTTGCCAGACCCCAACTATGTGTGCACTGTCCTTAAATCATCAGCTTCAGTGGATCTGAGAAGGCCATGGCAGTGGGAAGAGCTGTGTGAGCAAGGGTTTCTCTGGGCCTCAGTTTTCACAGTTTCCAGAGAGCTGAAGTAGGCTCCACGGTGGTGATCCCACAACCACCAGTGCTCGGCATGTATGGCCAACCTATAATGCTGTCTTGGAGATAAAGGTCCTGTAGCCAAAAGTAAGTTAGAAAACTAGCGCACTAACTGAAGGACATTCAGCAGATCTCAAATCTTTAAACCCCAAACTATACCTTCTGTAGTTCATGTCTAACATGTAATTTCCATACTACATATACGGTCTTCCGTGTAACACACACAGTGGGGTATGGTGTTACATAAATACAGCTACATAGACAACACATACAGTCTGCATTGCATTGTGCCTCCTCACACATCTTGGAAGTGTGAGAGCTGCTTGTGGCCTCTGTTCTCTGCTTTGTAGCCTGCTCTCAACATATCCCCTTCTCCCTGCAGAAGCTGTACCGCAAGGAGATCAAGCCACCCTTCAAGCCAGCAGTTGGAAGGCCTGAGGACACCTTCCACTTTGACCCTGAGTTCACTGCAAGGACACCCACAGGTGTGTGCCAGTTCTTCCCAGTTGACCTGATACCATCCCTCCAGAGAGCCTGTGTGAAGGATGCTCCCTTAGGGGGTAACCTTTAGACCCATGTGGTCTTCTCAATTTCTCTGCTTAGCAGTAAGGTGACAGTGGCAGAACAAATTCTCACTCTCCCTCATGTGACATCCATCTCAGAAGCAATCTGGGCTCTGTAGACTCCTCTTTTGTTGTGAGACTCTAGGCAGTGACAGTCCTCCCAGGGACACACAGGCAAGACACAGAAAGGAAACAGGTAGTTCACATCAATGATCTGTGGGAAAAAGTGGCTATCTTCAGGTCTCTGGGCTTATGGGCTAAATGTATTATTTCTGTGAAAGCTGGGCTCTATTTGATGAGTGCAGTACCGCTAGATCCCAGCACAGAAACTTGGCTTCATGGTGTGTGAGATCTCTGGGGTCCATGTGGTCCTCCATAGCTGGTCAGCTCCCTTAAACGTTAGCATTCTGGTTTACTGTTTCATGTGATTAATTGTCTCAGACCACCATGAAGGGGCAGCGCTAGAGAGTGGCTTAACCAGAGGTGTGTGTTGTGTCACAGTGCTGGAGGCTGGGTTCAAGGTCAGGTCGCTGGTAGGGTGTATCCCTGGTAAGGCTCCTCTCTACTATGGTCGGGCCACCTCCCTGTGTGTGTCCTCTGGTGGCCTTTCCTCTGTGAGTGGGAAAAGCTGAGGAGTGCTGGGTTCCACCCTATTCTCGTAAGGACACCAGCCCTCTGGGGATAGGGCCCTGACCTCGTTTAATTTTGACGTCTCCCATGAGGACCCTGTCTGCAAACACGGCCGACTCTGAGCAAGGCAGTGGGAGCCATGCAGAGCAGCAGCTAAACCCCTTGCAGACTCAGAGAGGAAGTTCAGCCAGCCACTGTGGGAGCTGCTGGTGGCTCTGCAGAGATTCTTTGGGATTTCTCACTACTTGCAAACAGGAAATTGTGTATGGTTGTTGGAAACTAACCACAAAACAAGATTACCAACCACGAGTTGGGAAAAGAGGACTGGAGAACCTACCTTGTTCCCCTTGGGTACAAGCTCTGGAGCAATGCCTTTATCCAGTGCAGGCGTTGATTGAAGACAGTCAGCACCACAGATGGCTCTCTCTCTCTGACCTCTTGGTCCCACTCCTCCCTAGGGAAGACCAAAACAGTAGTTAGCACAAGGCTGAGGAAGGATTGTCCCTGAATGTCGTGATGCTGCACGTTTCTTATACCGCCAAGCTGTCAGTCCCATGACAGCATGAGCCGGGGCACAGAAAGCATACCTGTTCATCTACTGAGGTCAGGAGGTCAGAGCCCTGGAGGCCACCTGAGTGGCTCACCAGTCCTCCTGCCTCTGACCCAAAGATGAGCAAACATGAAAGCAATTTGCTTCAGACGAGAGAGGGTGACTCTGTCCAGACCTTGGCAATGGCAGGGTCCTCACTGGGAAGGGCAACGTTAGTCACAAGTCTGTCATGTGATGCTACGCACGTGATGACATGTGTTTAAAATGATAACAGAAGCTAAGCTGTACTGTGGAAAGCAGAGGTGTTAAGGCCGGCAGCTCCAGACATCCTCTGTGTGTGCACTCTTGGCATTCCATTGGGGAATTTAAACTCCAGCCTAGTCAGTTGGTGTGGCCTTAAGTAATAGAAAAATGATGTTTCATCTTAATATTAGGCCAAGGGAAACTCAGCAGACATAGGGCATTTAACTCTGTGTCTAGAACTGGCTTATGTCATTCCTTAGTATTGTGATTTGTTCAGATGCTAGGTTAATAGACCTTGCCAAACAGTTTGCCTTTGGGGGAGGCAGTAATGGAAGTGCTAAAGATGCAGAGAAATCACCCTGATTTTCCTAGAGGGGAGCTGAATAGACCACTAAGTTGAAGAGCAGCCACAGTGGTGTGATTCTGAAACTGTCTAGAAACACCGAGGGCATTTCCTGTGGTAGACTTTCTGTCTCTATTAATGTGAAGCCATGAGCGAGCTTCTGCTTCCCGATCACGCGTCAGCTGCTCAGTGAAATGTGCCAATCTAAGGCTTGAAAACCTTTTTTCCTGGCCAGAAGCTTGTCACTGACTTTGCAAGTTTACTTTTTTAGTTTAACTTGTAATTTTGCTCTTCTGTGTATACTGTGCTGGCATTCGGCACCTCTTAACTGAGTATAGCGCATTCTAAATTCTGTTCCTGCTACCTGCCATCTGCTCACCATCCAGCCTCAAAAATCAAATGTCAGTTCCTCAGGCTTCTTGTAAAGGCCTCTTCGAACTTCAGCAGACTGGCCATCCTTGTGTTCCCACAGATGTCTTTGCTCTATGCAGAGAGATGTATGCATCTTTATTGTCTAGGAAATATTGCTAATTCGACCTGTGTTTCCTCACTACCGAAAATGAGTGAGTTCCAGTTAATGTGACCTGTTCCCTACACACGTGCACAGGCACACACACTCAGTGTGTTCTAAACAGACCCTGGTCTATACCCTCAGCACTGCCAGGCTCAGTGAATTCCCAGAACAGCCCAAGTTCTTAACCTTAAGCTTAAGTCCCTGAGGCTGACATACCCATTGTTGAACCCTTTTTCTATGGTCCAGTATTTAATGTTAAGAGAAGGCAAGAAAATAGACCTTGAAGCCAGAATCCCATGCTGGGAAAAGGAAGACAAACCAGAGCTGGTGACAGAGCAGAAGCCCATCCATCCACAGGGCTCAGGCTGAGGAAGGCAGCCAGTCTACATTAAATTCCATGCTGCCATTGGGCGTCTCGCTGTGCATAACTTCATGTTCTAAAAGCAGTGCTGCCATGCCTTGCCTTTTAATTAAGCATCCCCGGCCTAGCACCTTTGGAGTTTGTTTCCAAGCGGTCGGCCTCAGTCACATTAATTCAAGTCACATGAGTATCTATCTACGTGGGAGACTGAGCCTCTTGCGAGGCAGCAAATCTTGGGTCTGTTCCCTTGGGTCTGTTCCCTTGGGTCTGTCCAGGGTCTTAAGATGAACCTGTATCTTTATGTCCTTTATGATGGGTTGGCATCTCTGTCCCAGTGAAGCACATGTTAGGGTATGTCCACCTAACTACAGCCAGACCCCCACCCCCAGATCACTGGCCTTGCCCCTGGGCTCTGAAACAGCTGCCCTCATAACCCTGTACCCAAATTAGAATATGAAGGAACAAAAACTACATTTCCTCAGCAGGTGCCTCTCCTCCCCACACCCCTACCCACTATTGTTTCTATGTCAGGGTACTGGACTGGAAGGGGAGGCAAAGGTACATGGAGAAAGGCAGAAGCTCCATCTCCTTGGGGTACATGACTCCAGGATGCGCAAATATATACCTGTTTACCTGTTCACATGTATATGTATATGATGAAGTATGTGTTTTTAAATTGTATATACTTATAAGAATAAACTAGGTTATACATTATAGTTTAAATATTATTATATTATCTATATATATTATATTAATTATATTATATATATTATCTATATATTATTATATTATCTATATGTGATTTATTTACATATCCTGATATATTATGGAATTTGTTATGTATTTCATGCACTCTAAACATAAATGTATTAGATATTTACATTAGAATCTTCACTTGCAGTGGGAAAGTTCTTATCATTTCACAGCATTCTTTTTCTGTCTTTTTTTCCTCTCCCCCTCTTTCTCATGTCTCCTTTTTAATTTTTGTTTGTGGGTTTTTGTTGTTGTTGTTATTTATGATATTTTCTTGAGTCAGGTCTTGTTATGGCTGGCCTAGGCTGGCCTTGAGCTTGTGATTTTCCTGGTTCAGCCTCCCAGATCTGACAGTCCAACAGGAGAACAACACTGCACTTGCCTGGTGTTTGACTTCTTTGTTTGTTTGTAACTTTCAAACTGTTAGGATTACACTTCTGTGTTTGACCATAGCTGTGTCTGGTTGTCATAGTCACCTAAGGGATGGGCATGGCTGAAGTACAAACCTGAATTCAGATCCTTAATACTCACATAAAAAGCCCAACACAGATGCCAGTGGCATGGCTCAGAGGGTAAAATTCCTTGCTGCATAAGGCTGATAACTTGAGTTTGATTCCTGGAAACCCACAAAAGCTGCACATGGTGGCTGGCATCTGTAGTCCCAGCACGCCTGTGGGAATCAGAGATACGAGAATTGTCCTGAGGCTCCCGGAACAGTGCCTTGTTTACCTTTCTGTTGCTGTGATAAAACACTTTTATGAAAGCAAATTAAGGGAGAAAGGGTTTATTTGGCTCACAGTTTCAGAGGGTTGCAATCCATCAAGTCAGGAAAGGGATGGTGACAAGAACAGGAGGCCTACACATTTCATTGCACCAGCAGTCTGTGATTGGGATATCCTTCTGTATATACATTTCTCTTGTTGGTTGATGAATAAAACACCGTTTGGCCAATAGAGGGAGGAAGATAGGCAGGACTAAGAGACCAGGAGAATTCTGGGAATGGTAGGCAGAAAGGAGACCTCAAGAGACTCTATGTAGCCAAGGAAGGAGTAACAGGTCCGGACCCTTCTCCAGTAAGATAAGACCACATGCAAATACTTAGATTAACAGAAATGGGTTAATAATGGAGAGAGATAGCCAGTAAGAAGCCCTAGCCATTGGCCAACAGTTTAATAATTAAAATAGGGTCTTTGTGTGTTTATTTGGGGCTAAAGCTGCAGCAGGACCTGGGAGGACAAGAGAAACTCCAACAATAAGTCTGGAAGTTGAGAGAGAACAGGAGGTGGGGTCACTACAAAACCTCAAAGCCTTCCCTCAGTGATATACTTCCCCCAGCAGGACTCCATCTCCCAAAGTTCCATAGCTTTCCCAGATAGACCAGCTAAGGGCTAAGTGTTCAAAACATGAGCCTGTGGGAGACACTTCACATTCAAACCTCAGCAGCCAGATAGCCTGGAGTGTGTAGCATGGCAGAAACAAGAGAGACAAGATGGAAGGAAAGAACAGACTCCTGAAAGTTGTTCTCTGA